GGTGGGTTACATAGCGGATATGGCAGACACTGTTATATAATGGAAAATAAGGAATAGCGAATGGTGGAGGGGTTAAAAAATGTCATGTTATACCTTTATGACGGTGCCATAACTGTTATTTGTTAATATTGGCTGATTTTCAGGCAAAGCAAATTTGATTACCCATTCAAACACATAATGGTCCAAAAGAAATAATGAAACAAAATAACCTATATTGTCTTCTCTAAGGATGAAAAATTATTAAATTACCCATATCATCCTCTCCACTTGTTACAGATTGCTTAAGAACAGACTGATAATTTTCAGGCAACTTTGACAGAACACTCTCCTCCAGATGTTGCTTTAGGTCTTCTATACACCTGCAAGCAGAAAACTAGATTCAAAAACCACAAGTATGCTTTAATGCTATCAGTTAAAACACAGACCTAGTCAAAAAGCAAATTATAAAAAAAGACAATTTGAAAGATAGCTTTACGCATTGGTGAACTCTTTCTCGTCTTTAGATAGCCTGTTCCAAAGTTCATTAGTCTTTCGGATGTGGAACATGTACTTTTCAATCTACAATAAAAAAAGTGACTATAACATTATTAGAAAATAAAAAATAAAAAATATAACGAACAGAGCAATCAGTGAAGTCAATTCCAGCTAGCCCAGTCTTCAAATAGTTCGCAACAAACATGTGCCATAATTATTTTAACCTATTATAAAGGTAGTAAAAATGAAAAACACAAAACTATTATCAGAGACAAAATATTTAACGAAAAGAAAGTCCATAAAGAAAATTCAATTTACATCTAGTTGAAGAATCACTCTATCATTGCTAATACTCGAGGTTGAGACTACAATAAATTTCAACAGTTCATTTTTCTTTTATTTTTGGTTTAATTAATCATTTGGTCCTTAGAACGATACAATTTTTACATTTTAGTCTTTACACCTAGAAACTATTCGTTTTAGTCCTTACTGATACATTTTAATTCATTTTAGGTGTAGGAACTAAAATGTAAAGAAACCAAATATGTAATTAAACCTTCTTTATTTATTTACTTTTTGTTCTTATATCATCTTCCTTTGAAGACAATCCTATTCGAGGCACTATCAGACACTAAATGTAAGCACCACCTCTCTCAGCAGATATTCAAACCTTGATTTGTTGCATTGCAGAAACTAGTCCTATTCACTATTCAACTACAATTTTTCTTCTTAAATACTAAATTGAATTGTTGAATAATTTATTCTAAATTCGTATAGTTTGTAGCCTATATAAATTATACCCAATTCAGCAAATTTAAAACTTAGCACATGTTTGGTTTATTTATTTTTTGACAATTAATAATTCATTTTAGAAAAATTCTAAAGATTAATAAAGTAAATAAATAATTATTTTACAATTAATAAATCATTATTTTTCTAAAGAAAAATAATCTGAATAAAATACTATTATTTTAATAATAGATTAATAGCATTTTATTTTCTTGTAATGTTTTCGTCGTATTACATAAGAATATTTAACAAAAATATATAATAATTATTTCATGCTTTGTTTATTTAACAAATTAGTATTAAGAAGATGTTGCATAAGAATTTAAAATCATTTTAAAAAATTATTTTCTGCTTTCACTTTGTTTTTGCGTGTGGCAGGCTGGCAGCCAATGTTGAAGCTGACTAGGAAAGCATTAACCTTAAAGAATCGAACTTGTTAGGTACGAGATTAATTAATGGATCGTGGATCAATCATGGACCTTTAAATAAATAATGTGATGCTTATTTGACATTTGCATCAACCATTCATGTTTAAATTATACTAATTTTTTTTTCTCTACTTTAAAAATTATACTTTAATTTTTTTCTTAAGATATTGATATGTATTTATAATTTAATCTAATTCCGTTGATATAGTTAATCCACGTGGATAAAAACTAGTCACTGATATCATTAATAATTAATAATTATTCCCGTAATTCTTAGTTTAATCACATTCATTTTCAGCCCGTGGTGGGTTACAACTTACAAGCCTTGGCCCTGACCACGAGCCTTCGCATTCTTATTTATTTTTTTATTTTATTTTTTATTTTTTTTATTACCTTCTGCTAAAAATATATAATTCTTTCGCATCAACTGATGTCTTTATCACGAATTCATGTCTAAAATGGAAATAAATTTTGGTCCAATCTGACAATTAGTTAAAGATTTCATATATGAGCAAAATATTACAACTAATATTTATTACATAACATAAATTTTTATTTTTATATGATTTTTTTTTTAAAGATAGGAAAGATTACAAAGATGGTCGCAATGAAGATTGAATTTAGGTTTTCATGCTTTTAACTATCCTAATCCCTTCCCACGCAACTCTAAACCTTAACCCTAGTGGTTTATTTTTATATGATTCAAATTTTTAATAAACAAATATAATATGTATAAACAAATTATTTCTTATTTAAAATAAATCATTTAAATTGTGACATAAGACTATTTTTAATTATTGATAAATTTTTAAATATTAAAATTTAAATTTAAAATAAAAAAAAGTGATAAATTGAAATAAATATATAATTAAAATGATTAAACATATAGATAAAAATAAGACGATGATAGCTTAAAATGGTTGAGAGAACTTTTTTGTTTAATTGTTGTACCTCTAAATTAAAGAAGGGAAAAATATTAAGAATATTTAATCGGGAAACTAAGGAAAGTGAGAACCTTATATTTTTCAAATTATACATTCTAGTTATTATAACCTTTGTCTAATTATGAGACTTTTTTTTTAAAATAAATTATACCTTTAAAAAATTAGCTAATTTTGTTAAAAAAATTATATTTATTAATAATTTAAATCACTTTTTTAAAATTAATCTTTTATCTTTCTATTAATATTTTTCACTTAATTAATTAATATTTATAAAATATATATTTCTATTTTTCTTCTTCCTAAAAGAGATCATTTTCATCCTCGAGCATTTATTATCTTGTGTAAAAAAATCATTAATTAAATAAATATGTTTTAAAAAAGATATAATTAATTCAACTGAGAATTAAAATAAATTCTAATAAAGTGTATATATTAATTTTTATATTTGTTATAAATAACTAAGATTAAAATATTATAGGTTTTTTTTTAAAAGATATATGTTGTATTAACGTAGGATAAGGATAATTATATCTGTGCGGAAAAGTTTTGGATGATGAAATGGAGTTCTCAGTGGCGCGTTTATCTCTGGCTCTGGTAATACACTCTTTTTTTCTAAACTGCGATTTCCTTTTGTGTTTGGTTATGGTGAAAAGTGAATTGTGAAGTATGATTGATTGGTCTCAGAGATCGAGTTTGACGTTCGGAGAGGCGCTATGCGCGGTCTTCATTCCGCTTATTGGAATCGTGGAAGCTGTTTTCTTCACCTTAGCTGGTTGCTTCGATCTTCATTCTCCCAATAACAACAATCCCTCTTTTTCCTTCCACCACGTTCTCACCCTCGCCAATCAATCTCCATGTTCGTTTTTTTTCTGTTCCATTTCATTTTTCACCCTTTTGTTTTTAATTTTATAGTGCTATTTGAGTTCCTCATTTGTATGTCGCAGTTTCTGTTAATGAAATTGAGGCGTTGCATGACTTGTTCAAGAAGTTGAGTAGTTCAATCATTGATGATGGCCTCATCCACAAGGTAGTTTGGCTTAAGTTAGTTAACTGCTTAGATTGGGATTTGGGGATCAATGTGTCTTTTGATTTTTAAGTTTGTGCATTCTTTTTTTAGTCTTTATTTTGAGATTGGGATTTGGAATTGTTGAGATTGTGTCCTTTTAACTCTTGTTTGTTTCTCTTGCGAAGGAAGAGCTCACATTGGCAATGTTGAAGACCACAACTGGCGAGAATCTTTTCCTTGACAGGGTATATAACCATTTTCACTACTCTTTTTTGCTTTCTATTTTCTTCATTTCATTTGTGAACCTATGATCCAAACAACTAAAACAAGGGACTATTGTCTATTGTCTATTGTCTATTGTCTATTGTCTATTGTCAAGAGCCCTCCTCTCTCTCTTCCCCTCCAAACAAACAATGTGTTATTGTAAGGAAGGTAATTTTGATTTGCAAGGGAAGCATCTTTCTAGGGACCAAATTAGTTCACACCCTTTGATTTCCTGTGGCATCTGGGTAAATCAGGGTGGCAGTATTTTCCTACTTCATACTGCTTTTTTGTTTTTGTTCACACGACTCAATTCTGTCGTTATCAGTTTAAGAGTTTTCATCCATTGTAACTGGTGAACAAAAATTACGTAACCTATCACCAAATCCAAACCTGCCTCCAAGACTTCTTTATCAAGTTCCACCACTTCAGCCAGATATTTGCTATGTCCGATTTTGTCTTGGGTTCTATTAAGTTTAGAATATGGTTTCTATGTCGGACTTAGAGCTCCAAATATGGATTTGTTTCAGTAAAATGGTTAATTGATGCATGATGCTTTATTTTATTTTTTTTGCAAATAGGATGCCACTGCCTCAATACAAGTTTCTGCTTATAATTTAAATTTCAGAGCTACTTGGCATTTTCCTTCTAAATTTCCTTCAGAATCCCCTGTGGAACATTACAGGCTGTTTTAGACCTAAGGATGCTTTTACTAGTCTAATACTCTGATATGTTATGTGAAGTGTGATCAATGAACTCTAGTGCTTTTTTGTATCATTCCTTGGAAGTCTTATACCGGTCAGTCCTTTTGTCCTTTTGTAAATGATTGTTGCCACATTGACTAAGGTCTCAAATTGTTATGATAAGTTGATATTCTTTTCTAGCTTTGTTTGTCATATATATTATTATGAAAGATCAAAGGTGCATACATGTTTTTTTAATAGAGAAGTTGAAAGATTTATTGTACGTATTGACAGTATTTCTGTTGTTTAAATATCTAATTTTACATTGTTGACCTTATATAGCATAGCCAATGCCCAATGGTTTCTGGAGACATTGTTCTATGCATATTCTCCCTATTTCCCTGTCCTTTAGAAGAAATAAAATGCTGTATACACTTGTTTTGCAGAAAGTTCTGTTGTTTACTGCTGTTTTTCCTTCTTGAATTGTATAATTGAGTCCATTTTATTGTTTGTAAATTTTTTTAGGTGTTTGATGTCTTCGATGAAAAAAAGAATGGCGTAATAGAATTTGAGGAGTTTGTGCATGCTCTCAGTATCTTTCATCCTTATACTCCTCTGGAAAAGAAAATTGATTGTAAGACTTCAGTAAGAGTTTTTCACTTGTATTTTTATATTATCTATTTTATTTATATTAGTATGCGTAAAAATTATCAATATTCTTTTATTGGTTTTCTTGTAGTTGCTTTTAGATTGTATGACTTGAGACAGACTGGATATATTGAGCGAGAAGAAGTGAGTATCTGGGCATGTCCAGGTTATGAAGATGTTATTACTTGAATATATTTATTGTCATCATAGAATAATGTTGCACTAGAATTCCCTTACCACAATATCAATTTGATTTGACAAGTTTAACAAAGAAAAGTGATGGTGGTGGTTTCTGTAATTCTGTTTATGAAGTCTATGGCAATCTTATGTCCATTGAATAATTGTAAAATTCAAAATAACCATGAGGAGGTCTGCTATTTTATTTAACTTGTTTTCCCCTATTGTTTTCAGTTTACCAACATCTGGAACTGTTTTGTTAACCTCCGACTTTTTCCAGGTTAGGCAAATGGTTGTTGCCATTCTATCTGAATGTGGCATGGATCTGGAAGATGAAGCCCTTGATACCATTATTGATAAGGTAATTGTTTGCAAGAACACTTTTTCCCTGTGTTGATTTTCGTTTGGAGCCTTTAAGTAACCTTTTTCTTTCATAAAAATTATCAGACATTTCAAGATGCTGATACTGACAAGGATGATAAAATAAGCAAAGAAGAATGGAAGGCATTTGTTATTCGACACCCAACACTCTTGAAGCACATGACTCTACCTCACCTAAAGTAATTAATTTCTTTATATTATCATTTAATCATCGATCAAATTTAAACTCAATATAATAACCTACCCAACTCAAACTGGATTGACTCCGGTGGAAGATACATGTAATTTAGACAACAACAAAAAATCCAACTAATAAGCATCACCAATGAGTATATTTCAATCTGATGGTTTGCAGTGCATTGGTTGGGACTGAATTTTTATGGTTTCCATTTTTGTTTGGTCACTGGTCAGGGACATCACCACACTTTTTACCAGTTTCATTTTCAGCACCCAAGTTGATGATTCCCACTGGCATATTAATGGCAGTCATAAACATTGAGGAGTGGAAGCTTGTTCTGTTGCACCAGCTGTTGTTCTGAGAAGTAGAATCCACTCTCCCAAATCCCGTGTTCATTCCAACGAGAGAATTCATGGAAGTGAATCAAACCACCGAAGTGCGGTAAAAATCTGATTCAAATTGAATCAAATTATGGTTTGGTTTGATCAGCGACTGTACAGCTCGTTTTGGTGCAGTGTACAAAATTTATTTGTACGATAAAAATCATTTGAAATATTTAAAATGAAATGTGTTTATTATCATAACTAAAAGGGTTTAACTATATTTACACAATTTTAAGTTTTAGTTACTACGAAAAAATATAGTTTTAGCCCCTACATCAACATTAAAGTTAAGTTTTGGACTCTTTATTAATGCCATTAATGATGTGATTAATGTGCTGATGTGGTAAATAAGTGGAATTTATGTGAATGAGTTTGATCTTTAAATATGTTAACATGTATATAATCTTAATGCATTAAAATAAAAATTTAATACTACTACGGAATAATAATATTTATGTAAAAAATTAATGATAATATTAATGGTATCATTATAGTATTTCTATATTTATAAATAAACTGATTTGTTAAACGAAGCCTTTGGTCTAATGATTATAAGGCCTCTCTTGAGATACAGGGATAGATATAGTAGTCTCTGTATTAAAAATAATGTTTAGTCGGTAGAAGTTATGTTTCGTGAGTGACTTGTTTTGTAAGTGTAAATTAATCTTTAGTTATAAACTTTTACATGCTGCATAGACCGTATCATGTCCATTGGAAAAAAAATATATACTGATTTATAAAATTTAGAAGTTTGTTTTTGATAAATAAATGGTATTTAAAAAATTTATATTCTAATTATTATTATTCTTTTTTAAAATTTTCTTATTTTGGTAATATTAAATGTTTCCTTTATATTGAGGTTTCTATTTTCATTCCTCAAATCTCATCTTTACTAAATTCTAATTTATTTCTTTTTTATTTTGTCATTTTAAACACCATCTTACACTTTCAAATTAAAACTTTATTTTAAAATACTTTATTCTTCTTAAATCTAAATTACTTATATACTCATTTATTTAAATTTAGGTTTAAATATGTTCAAATTACCTTTAATTAAGTCGATTTTCAGATTATTACTTTTTAAAAATAAATTTGTTTTAATTACCTGACACTTTTTTTTTGCAATTTAGTACTTGACGTTAGTCTTGCTCCGTTAAGTGATGATATGACAAACGGATTGCCACGTCATCATCCAACAGTGTTTGCCACGTTATCTAAGGGACTACCATGTGGGCATGGTGATGATGTGGCAGACACTGTTGGGTGATGATGTGACAGTCCGTCTGCACATCATCACTTCACAGAGGGGGACCAACGTTAGGTACTAAATTAAAGAAAAAAAATTAGTCAGGTATTTAAAATAAAAAATAATAAATTAATATGTAGTAATCTAAAACTGACCTAATTGAAGGTAGTAATCTGAAAATCGACCTAATTGAAGGTAGTAATATGAAAATTGTCACTGAAGGACAACCTATTTTGAGGCCACCATATTTTGATTGCATAAATTACACTGGGCGAAAGGAGTGTATACGAATATTCATACAATCCACCGACTTCAAACTTTGGTTTGTCATAAAAAATGGATAAAAAATTTCAATAAAGATAGTGAAAAATGAAGAAGTGGAGAAAAGTGAAAATTAATAAGATGTAGAAGACATAAAACACCTATAACTAGAAACAAAAGTAACAAATGTTTTATATTGTGGCATGAATTAAGATACTTTCGAAAAAAAATTCAAGTACAACTTAAATATATTCAAACTACCTTCAATTAGGTCAGTTTTTCATATTACTACATCCAATTAGGTTAGTTTTCAGATTACTTTTGGGTTTTTCTTTTTATGCCACTCAATTATTTTTATTTAATTCGGATCGTTTACTTGTGGACTTGTGGTTTGTTTTCTATTTTTATTTTCAATTTTTACTTTTTAATTATTTAATTATCAACTTATTTTTAATCTCTCTTTAAATATTTATACGTGAAACAGAGAAAACAAATAAAATCTATTTTCAATAATTTTTGTACAAATCTTTAAAAATAGGATCAAATTGAAAACAAAATGATAAATTTGTGATTATAAAGTAAAAACAGGAAATAAAAATCACGAAATAAATGCACAGATATTTACCATCCTATTTTCTTTTCTATTTTTAGATTTGTTCCCTTGGAAATTATTCCCACCCTGACAGAGAAAAAGGACAAAATTTCCATCAATTATACTTTTTCATACACACCAAGCCAAAAGATTAGCTCCCCTTCCAAACAAAAGAATGTTTAAATATTTTTCAAACTTTAGAAAAAATTAAAAATGTTTTCTATTTTAGTATAAATTAAAGCATTCATTTTTTATTTTTTTTGCAAAGTAGCAGATTTAAATGATGGTTCGAACGATAATTTATGTCCTGTATATGTTAAATTCATAATCTGGAATTTCGAATAAAAAACAAAATCAAACACGCTACTAACATGTTTAGGTGAGAATTTTTTCAAAAGCCTTAGAGCAATATAATGTCAAAAAATTGTGTCTCGACGCACTTTATTGAATAGTTACCTTTTTACCTTTTAATGCCCGTCCATTGAAATTAATATAAAACAAACAGAAGGTTAAGAGTTAAGTGTTCAAAAATTGTTGCTTCAATATATTCGAGGGGTAAAATAACATTATTTCAAATTTCAAGTACTTTGTACTTTTGACATTTTTTATTGGGGTATGCATAATAGATAAGTACTAATTTTAGGCTTTTAAACTCCTAAAAATACAAAATAAAAAGCCTAAACTGGTTAATGATGGTTGTTAACCTTTCGCATCACATAAAAGTCTTGCCTTTAATTCTCACTCATGGTTTTATACTGACAGATTATTTAAACGTTTTGTTGTTACTTGTATCTTTTATGTGTAATTTTTTTATAGGTTGTTTACAAATATGATGGTATGTTCTTGACATTTTGTTAAAGCTTTTGACATATCTTCATCACTGAATTTAGAACGCTACTTTTTATCTCCTCGAATTTTTTTAACAAAAAGGAGGGTTAGGAATATGTATTTATCAGTCATAGCAGCAAAAATAAATTCAAAATGATTAAGCCCATGAGTTAGATTATTTACCAAAAAAAAACATTGACGTATTCAACTACAGTTTGTGTTAATCTTACTTGTGATGATGTTCTTCTAGGTATACTTTACCATCCTTTCTCAAATTTTCTCTAACTTCTTAAATTCCTACCTAGGTAAAAAATACTCATGTCTTGATCCTTGTTTTATCTTCTTAAATAAATTATATTTTAAAATTCAATATCAATATTATTCATTTATAAATATTATAAATAGATTTGCACAAAAACAATTTGAAGTTCATGGAGAATCAAGAATCTTGGATCCATAAATGATTTTAGCGCCTTTTTTTCTTCTTCTCTGGTTTAGATGATTCACATCATTGATCAAACTAAAGGGTGGTGGATCTTGTGTACATTACTCACTTTTCTTTCCCTCTTCAATCATCCCTATATAAAGTATGAATAAATGCATATTTAAAATGGACCTTGACAAGTTGTCCTAAGAATATCATTATAATTTATGGGACCCTTAAACTCAAACAATTGTCGTAGGTGTCCACTTATTCAATTCTATACTCCCTCCCCTGCTCTTCTTCCAAAGAAAGGAGAAAAAGGAAAAAGAACAAAAAAAGGTGGTGAAGTGAAAGGCAAAAATAAACAAAAGGAACTCTGATTCAAAAACAAGATAAAAGTGCTTGCTACCCCTTACAATCAACCTTTATTTTCCTACCACACTAGGTAAAATGGGAAAGAAGAATTGGTGAAAAGTAAATACTACCTAATTTAAGGGTCCCTCAAAAGATGAAACTCTCCATTGTCTTCATGTGGAAAGACTAATGCAAGGGGACAAAAAAAATAGCTAATGAAGCTAACCACACGTGTGTCCACATTAGCCAATCTTTCTGGTCCCCTACCCCTCAATTGTTTCTTCTTACATTTTGTATTTTTCATACACTGGTTGTTCTGTACCCTCATGTTGAAGTGGCTCCACACTTTTTGGCCAAGGAATGAACCTCAAGATTCCACTCTCCTTACCATCACAGGCATCCTCCTTTTCATTCTTACTGTAGGGAAGTTCACTATTCTATCTTCTTCAGCATGCCATCTGCATGTACAACATTAAATTTCAAGATGTCTCATTATAATTGCATGCATCAAATTTTTACCTTTTTACATTTTTTAAAGTTTCTCTATTAAAAAAACTTTATTTTTTGTTGAAAAACTCTCTTAAGAGCTTTTAAACTTATATCTCTTAATTAAATTTGAAACAAGCTAGGCAGAATGAAGTATTCAAAGGTGTTAGAAAAGCAAAGCATACAATGCACTATTGGGTTGCACGTTTTGCAGGCCTAGCTAGCAAAAACTCTATCTTTAGGCTGCTTGACTAACTGATATCATCAAAGGCTTTTGTCACCCTAACATGATTTGACCAGCATAGCTCGTTATTGTGGTATTTTTCATTTTTTTAGGCCATACATATCTTCATAGAAGCATGTACAATTAGAAGTCAAAACCTATAGTCCTAAGGATAATATAAAATAAATGCTACATATAAAAATAAAAAAAAAATGGTTCTCAATGGCAGGTATTTTTGCTTCCCATTTAAACAGTGCCAAGAGACAGTAGTTGAATGTACTTCTCTAATGAAATAACATTCTTTCTGTCTTTGTAGGTACGATGTTGAACCATTGTCACCAGTCAACTCATATCTGATTCACGTGTCATTAAAGCTAGTGTGAAATTGCAGCATGATTATGATTAAAATTCTTAAGCCTGGTACTGTACTAAGAATTAGGATACATTCAAGAAGTATCATGGCTTTCCTCACAGTTAGGATTGATTTAGAAGTAGTTTAATGACACATTAATTATTATTATACACCAAAGATTAGTATGAAATGGCTTTTAGGAATTCTAACAGCATGTAAGGCTTTCTGGCCCCGTAAAGTCGTAAACTTTACAACTTGGATTCCTCCTTTGTCCATATGCAAGAAAGAGACATTTTATGCCTTTGACCCACCCGGATATTAATATGTGGAATATGTAATTTTCAGCAACCAGTTTTAGTTTCAAAAGAGAAAATCATGAGTGAAAAATGTAAAGTAAAAAAAAGGTCCATGCAAAGCCACTTGATCCGCAGAATGGCAGAAATTTTCGTGTCTGCTGTTATGA